ATTATATCTACTTACTCAACAAATAAATTCTCATTTTAAGTTTTTTTTTTTGTTTTGGATAATGATGACAATGTTATGTTAAATGTGAAGCATATGAATTTACTCAACATCATCGCTCTCATTTTTCAATACAACCTTATAAACCAGCAAAACTTTTCTCTGTAATTCATAGTGATATTTGAGGTCCTAACCATATGAATACACTCTCACTTAAAAAATAGTTTATCACATTTTTGAGAGTATGTTAAGTATACTTGTTAAAGGGGAAGTCGGGTGTTTGTCACGTTGTAAAGGATTTTTTCCAAAATGGTGCAAAATCAATTTCACACTACCATTCAAGTTTTTAAAAACGTTTGCTATAATATTTGAACATTAATTTGAGTGACTTTTTCCGTCAAAACAGAATTGCACATCAAAATTCATGCCTTAATACTCCCCAACAAAATTGAGTGACATAGAGAAAAAACAGACTTTTTTAGAATTAACTTGAGTTATACTTTTTCACAAAGTACCCAACTATTTGTGGGGTGACGCAGCCTTAATTGCTTCATATTTAATTAACAGAATGTCATCCAAAGTTCTAAATTTTCAAACTCCGATTCATACTTTCAAACAATGTTTTTCGAATTATTGTTTTTAACCTTAGGCGTTATGATTCTACCAACTCACTTTCCCTATGATTTTATCATCTCTAAGAGTAGGCGTTGTCGAAACCGAAATGGGCAAGCCCTACAATGGCAGTGTGTGAAGCTGTCAAGAAAAAATACTTTGATATTCTCAATTCCTCGCAAATCTTTAGTATGAAGTCAAAATTATGGCATGCTAAGCAAGGCGATAGGGATGTTACTTCTTACAATGAAATGTTAACCTAGTGGCAAGAATTATATCTTTGTTATGATGACAATTGAAAATATGCAGAAGATAGTGTCTTGTTCTTCAAGAGACAAGAAAATGATTGTATCTTCATAATTCTTGTTGGATTAAATAAAGATCCTGATGAAATTAGAGGCTTTTAAGAAAGACACAATTACCAACCATTTGGAAAACTTTTTCTAAAATAAGGAGGTAGGAGGCACAACAAGGTGTTATAATGTGAAAGATGCTTCGAAGTACTGAACATGAAAACTCTGCTATGGTCTCACTAAAAACTTCAGTGAAGGTAGGAAGTCAGACAAACCATGGTGTGACCACTGCAAGCGCGCATGGCATACTCGTGAAACATGTTGGAAGTTCAATGAAAAACCTACTAATTGGAAGAAGAAAAATGCTAATGCGGGTAGGAGTCATCCTCAACTCGGCTATCACTCACTTCGGAACAAATAGGCAACCATCCACTACAGAACAAATAGACAAATTGTTAAGACTTCCCAAGTCAACTCCTTGCTCTATAGATAAAAAAAGGTACACTTTTTTAGTGTCGGCCTTAATCAAACTTGGATAATAGATTCAAGTGCTACTGATCATATGACTTAGTGAATCTACATTTTTTTTCCATATAGTCCCTGTGCGAATAATAATAAGATAAAAGTTGCAAATAGCTCTTTTTCAACCATCGTAGATAAAAGCTCGATTGTGATGTCTCCAAGCCTAACCCTTATAGATGTCCTTCATGTTCCAAATTTTTCTTGTAGTTTGATGTCAGTTAGTTAGCTCAAGAGAAACACTATGTTGAAGTATCCGTATTTTTTCTGTTATTCTTTTTCTACATTTAGTTTTTATTATATTAATATTCTCCTAGAATATTCCTTTTCTATATGAAGTTATTGTTAAGAGTCCCACATCGGACAATATATGACATGAACATGTGTTTATAAGTGGGGGCAATCCTCACTCTACCAACCGGTTTTGTAGGGTTGAGTTAGGCCCAACCACACTTCTTAACATGGTATCAGAGCCTCGTTTAAGATCCGGTGGGCCACCTTCTATGGTTTCCGCTATCGGGCCACCCACCATTTATTTTCACGCTTCAGTTGTCCAATCCTGAGCGTGAGGGGGTGTGTTAAGAGTCCCACATCGGACAATATATGACATGAACATGTGTTTATAAGTGGGGGCAATCCTCACTCTACCAACCGGTTTTGTAGGGTTGAGTTAGGCCCAACCACACTTCTTAACAGTTATAATATCCCTATTTATACCAGCTATTGCTGAAGATTAAAATATAACAGTATTTCCTATTCTCTAATATGGTATCCAGAACCTTAGTTAGGATTTTTCATAATTAGTGGAAATACTTATCACTATACTACACCGACTAACTGAAATACTTACCAATATTCTAAGGTCCTTACTCTTTAAACTCCGATTAATTTCAAAGTATGTTTCCCTAATAATCATGTTATAAATTATTTGCCTTCAAAAAGTTTAGGATGCACGTCTTTTTTTCATGAACACAAAAATATTAGAAAATTTGAACCATGTGCTATAAAATATGTTTTTGTTGAATATTCTCCAACACGAAAAGGATATAAAGGTTTTGATTCAAAGAAGCAAAAAATGTTGGTAACTAAGGATGTAACAAAAATGTTTGTAACATTCGTTTCAAACTAGTTTAAGTTTTTTTTAATTCATCTTTGCCAATATCACAAAATTCTAAGACTTGCACTTCAGCACCAACAACAAAATGGCCATGATTCACCTATTGAACTTACTCATACTATGAGTGAGGAACTTGGTGAATATAAACCTACATTTTCTCATGATGATAATGATGAAACACTTGAAGAAAATAGATTCAAACGAAAAATAAGATTTGAAAAGAAAAGGTCTTTGTGAGAAAAAATCACACAAAAATGATGACTCTACATCCCGACAATGCAATGAATCTAAATCGGAGAATGATCTGTCTCCCTAAGAAAAAGAAAGGTAAATCTATTTCAGTGTCTGATAGTCGTATCATATATCCTGAACCAATAGCTATTAGAAAATTTGTTTGGTCTTGCACTAAGCATCCTTTGTTCAATTTTGTTTCTTACTCAAATTTGTTTTCATCATTCTCAACTTTTACCTCACAATAGTCTATGGTTGAAATTTCAAAAATTATATATAATACTCTAAAATTTCTAAAGTGGAAGGAAGTTGTACTTGAGGAGAAGAAAACACTTGACAAGAACAAGATTTGGACTATTATAACACTAACAAAGACTGTGGGATGCAAATGGTTGTTTATCGTGAAATACAATTCAGATGGGTCAATTAAAAGATATAATTTTTGATTGGTTGCTAAAGGTTTCACTCAAACATATGGTATAGATTACTCTGAGACATTTGGTCCTATTGCAAAGTTAAGCACCGTAAGAATTCTCTTATCTCTAGCTGCCAACTTAAACTAACCTCTGCATCAGTTGGACGTTAAAAATGCATTTCTCACTGGCGATCTGGATGAAGTATATATGGATATACTTCCTGGTTTTGAAAATAATTTTGGATTTAATGTATGCAAATTGGGGAGGTCCTTGTATGGGCTAAAGTAATCCCCTAGAGTTTGGTTTGAAAAGTTCACCCAGTCCATAAAAAAAGCAAGGTTATATTCAAGGTCAAGTTGATCGCACATTGTTCACAAAGTTCTCCCATAATGAAAATTTTGTGGCACTAATAACCTATGTGGATGATATTGTTCTTACCGGAGATGACATAGATGAGATGGCTAGAGTAAAAGAAAAACTAGCTGTTAACTTTGAAATTAAGAACTTAGGATTTTTGAGATACTTTTTTGGTATGGAGGTTGCCCGATCAAAGAAGAGAATCCATGTTTCCCAACAAAAATATATTCTAGATCTCTTGAATGAAATTGGAATGAGTGGTTGTAAACCAGCATATACTCCCGTGGAACCTAATGCAAAACTTTGGAAAAAATGGGAAGATTTTTGTACACTGGAATTTATCGTAAACTAATTTACTTGTCCCAGTCATACTAAGTCATTGCCTTCCCAGTTAGTATGGCAAGTCAATTTATACATTCTCATTTTGAGAAACATCTTGAGGTTGTTACAGAATTAAACTAATCCAAAAAAATGGCTTATTGTTTAAGAAGACTAATGAAAAGAATGCATTTATGTTCATGGATGCTTACCTATGTTTGAGGTAATCATATAACTTGGAGAAGCAAAAAACAAAGAGTGGTAGCAAGAAGTAGTGCAGAAGCCGAATTTAAAGCTATAGCTCAAGGTATTTGTGAAGGATTATGAATCCACAAAATTTTAGAAGAAATAAAAGTAAAGATTGAACTCCCACTGAAATTATATACTCTGACAATAAGACTCCCACTGAAATTATTATATACTCTGACAATAAGACTCCCATCAACACAACTCATAATTTATAGTTCAACAAAATGTAACCAAGTACATTGAGATAGACCATCACTTTATAAAAGAGAAATTAGATGTCGGATTCATAAAAGAAAAAGAACTAAATGAGAAAAAAACTAATATGAAAAGATATTTTAAAAACTCTTAAAAATATTTTGCGAGTTTACCAAGTTCACTACGAGTCTAGCCAAGTAAACTTGGCTTCATTTTTGAGTTTACAAAACTTAGGTTTTCAGTCGAATCTACTCAAAATTAATACCTAAACGCGTGGAATTGTACGACTTAACTCGGAATTTTAGTAACCGTGAAAACACCTAAGATGAGATTTTACCATACTTTCTAGGATAGGAAGGAGCTACCCAAATTATCTCTTTAACGAATGTATTCTTGATTATATCATGTTTTTAGTGCCTGACTAAGTTGATAATTAAATAAAAATTCCCTTTTACTTCGGGAAATAATTGCTTCACTCTTTTCTGGCTTTGTGAGCAAAGTTTTTGGAAGAAATGCGAGATAATTGGAAGGGAAAAAAACATGCACTGTACGGGTCAATCAAGATGGCATTTAGTAAGGATACTCCTACCATAGTAAGAGGCAAGAAAACCTTAAATATATTATAATAAGAAAAATGCGACAGCCTTACATCAATGGAGAGAGGAGAGATGAGAGAGAGACGAAGATTTCACTTACTAGCAACTGAGAACGAACAAGCTCTTGCTTCAATTCCTGAAAAGTTTTTTATTAGTAAGTGGTTACCAATTACATATTTTTAACAAGTATCTTGGTAGAAACGCCTGTACTTGTTCATGCAGTGCATCTTTAAGCTGAGAAAGCAAAGAATCCCTAGCAGCCTCTGCATTTTCGAGTTGCTCCATATATTGCTTAAGCTCCTTTTCCCGCTCTTGTAATTCATTCGCCAAAGTGGATCCTGGCTGGCTCCCTGATGTCAATCCAACCAATGTCAGTAACAAAATGTAACCTAAAATTGTTCATCAGTTACTTTCCATAGCAATAGAGATAGATAAAAGTTATGCTGCATTGCTTGACATATAGAAGAGTTAGCAAGTGGAATTGCCCATGCATGTCTTCAAATCCCCTAAAAATAAGGGAAGTGTGAGTAGCTTTTGATTGGGAATAACATGACATTGACAACACACCCAGAAGCAAATCCATAATCATAATTCATTGATTCCCACCGTCAATTCCTCAATAGAATAACAATTTCACATCGTGACCGATGCTCCAAAAAGCCACACTATCAGGTAGACTACTTTAAATGGGAATTCTATATTTTACACTTGTGACAAAAGAGTTCTATATGCAACTCGTGCTTCTACATCACACAGTTTGGCAAAAAAGATTTGTCCATCCATGACAAAAGTTGGACAGACCACAACTCCTAAAGGTCGGGTGGATAAAACGAAGACACCGTACATTGAAAGATAAACAGGTATCTCGTCCCAGACAGATGTCATGCAGCCCGTGCTACTGCTTTATCCACACATAGTCCAGCACCAGTTAACAAGTCTTGACTCATAAATCTTGATAGTTCATTTTAGCTGTGCCTGTTGCTTTGGGCCTACAACCATGCAGCTTTAAATGTTAGCACATCTGAAAGGCATACTAAAACTGATTTATGCAGGTTGTAGATAGCTGAGCTTAATATCTGTCAGGGTAGCGAGACGCAAAATATGGAAAATGATGGGGGGAAATATGGTGAACAAGCTTTTCACTTGTTAAGATGGTGACAGAGCACTCGGGTCTTTTGTTTGTTCTTATTTGTAATTGTGGTAAACTTATTTTGCACTATAAGTCTTAAAAAATTCTTTGGAAGAACCTTTTCACAACTATCACCAAGCATTATGTATGTCCCGCTACTCTAGTGCAGTTTTAGATGGTCTAACATAAAGAGTTATGAAAGAACCAGGTTAACTATATTTTTTTGGCAGAGTAATTTAAGCAGATCTTTGGTGCACCTTTAGGAATAGAAAACTTGTATTTAAAGGTGTCTTTTGTCCTTAAATTTGTGGAGGAAGGTTAACTTTTAGCTTCTCTTTGATGTTCCACTCACGACTGCTTCAAATTAGTTGATATATCAGACATGCCTAGAAAGAATAATCTTGTCCAAACGGAAATGAGAATGGAGCATGGGTGACTGAAAGATCAGATAGGACCAAGGTTGTGTTTAGGAAGATCAGCAGAAGACACTCCAACTGGTGGTGGTTTAGCTGGGAAAATGCGCCAAACAATGACCAGGGGTGCCACAGAAGATGGTGGTGGTTCCCGGATAAATGCAAACAGAACTAGTTACATGCACAATGAAAAAGCAAGGTAAGCAATGAAGGCTGCCTAAGATGGCTGAAATGAAGGAGGCTAGGTTTTTTGAGGCAGAAGAAGAGCCCCCCAGAAAAATGGGATCTGAGATGCCATGTGGAAAATTAGAGAAAAACTGAACATTGGTGATTAAATTAAAAAGTACAAGCACTAACTAAATTATATAGGCTAAACCTAACAACACAAAATTAGGTAAAATTGGAATAAAATTTGCCTCAATAATTACAAAATCAAATGAAATATGTACAATGCAAAATTAGTGGCAGTTATATATTTACAAATTACAATAGTAAGATACCCACCAGTTATCATGAGAACATAAAATCAAGCTCTTAAAATTTAGGTTGGACCTAACTCATCTCTACAAAACCAAAACTAGTTTGTAAGGTGAGGATTGCCCCCACTTATAAACACAACACAGGGCATATCTCTAAGCAATGCGGGACTAAATTCACCCCTTCAAACCCAACACAATGAAGGTGTTGGAGGCTGCAACTAAGGCAAGCCAAATGCCGCAATTAAGGCGACTAGGGACAGACAACAATGAAGGCGGAAATTTCAACACAAGCAAAACTTAGGTATATTCCTTTCACGTGAATCAAAAATCACAAGGAATATCTTTACGATAATTTTCTGGCTAATATTTTTTATATTCAAAATTAGTGTTAGAGTTACAATGACCATCCCACCAATTCCTGTAACTAAAACAATCTACTAAAAGCCTTGTATAAGTTACACCTAAAAAAGATTTGTCATCATATAATCAATGCTAAGCAATTAATCAATTTCCATAATCAAAACAAAATGCTTGCATATGTCAAGTAGCACGAAGAATAAATGAAGTCTTTTCAGCAATCCTCTTACCTTGAGCCAATGTATTTTCAACATCTTCCAAGAGTTTAACCATGTCATGTACACCAGCATTACACTTATTCAAGGCAGCTTCCTCATTAAGATGTTCATCAAGAACAGAGTGAAATGCGGTTAGTATTTTTTCTGGCAAACACCCAACAGCCAATTTCTGCAATGAAGATGACCAAGAAAGGAGACACCTCAAAATCAGACATATCAAAACAACAAGGCAACAGACCAACATCAGATAATGCTGCGCTGCAACTTGCTTACTATTCTCACTGAGTGGGCATCCCTCTTCATTATCTTGATAGAATCTGAACCTTTTCCATTGCTTACAGGGCATGGAAGGGGATTACTACTCATCAGTTCATCCTTAAGACCCTGACTTCGCGACCCAAAAACCTTTCTCTCCTCCCATACGTCAATCTGGACAAATCAGAAGAAGACACCATCAACAATCCAATCCAACACCCCAACCCCAAAAATATTCCACCAGAAGGAAAGAAAAAGAAAAGGGTTGGTTTAAAAAAAATTAACAAGACTAATGGCATAAGATAAAAATACTCAAAAAGCACAAACGATGGTAACATATGATTGTGGCTGATAAAAAAAAAAAGTGATTTCTTTAATGCATCATTTTTCTCTGGCATATGTGCTGTCGTTTGTGAGCTATTCTAATAAAAGGGGAAAATGTCCAAAACAGAAACAGAGGAAACGGAGATATCGCCCATGCCGGGTACTCATAATGCTAAAGCATTGCAATATATAAGCATAGTATGAAGACATTGACTACAATAGTTGCATTCAACTTGATTCACAGAACTTATAACAAGTAAATATAAGACTTACAAGTCTGTTCACTGCTTTCCTTCCATGTACATCACCACTTTCATATACACACCTGAGAGCTGCTGGAAGAACTTTCCAAAACTCATTGACAAACTCACTACCTTTCCGCCTACTATTTTGCAGGATGTCATTAGCCAAGTTCAAAAAAGAGACACGCTGCTCTTTCTGGGAAGCATTGAACAATTTATCCCATATTTCAACTATATCTTTTGCTCTCTTTTGGTGAGGAATGCACCAACGGGACAGTGCTGAATGAATGCTTAAGAAATACATATTGCAATAATCCAATTTTACTACTAAATAACCAAAACTAGTAGCGGGGAACAATGTGAGGAAAGGTAGATGAAATAACAATCACAATTAACCAGGTGAATGTATTAAATATTCTTCAAAAGCAGAAATTAAATCAATATGTAAAACAGTATTACGCCTTAAAAACTATTCAACCCTGCAGAAAATCAAGCAAAATACTACTTTCATTTGCCAACATAACAACCAAAATGACAACCAGTTAATCATGATACAAAATACTGCCTTTGACAAATGATCTTTTGTTTGTTTCCTTTAATTTGTTGTTATTGAAAAAACCAAGTCCCGCGATTAAAGATAAGGTCAGACTAAAGTTTATAATGACTGATACTTTTCACCTTAAAAGTCGGTTGTGTAAGGTTGAGTTAGGCTCAATCCAAATTCTAAGATGATATTGGGTCACCTGCTATTAGGTTTCTGCTATAGGGTCATTTGGATCACGCTCCAGATTTCCAGTACTAAGCGTGAGGGGGTACTAAGAGACCTCATGGGATAAGACCTCAACATGATTTGGTAAGTGAGAGCAGTTATCACCTTACAAGTTGGTTTTGTAAGAATGAGATAGATCCAAAATATATAAAAATTAAGATGGTATCAGAGTCTAAAGATTCGGATCACGCACCAACCCCAATAGTGCATTGCGTGAGGGACAGAATGTATTGGAAAAACCAAATCCTACATAAATTAAAGAAAATTTCTACTAGAGTTTACAAAGAGTGGAACCTCTCACTTTAAAGATAAGGTCTAACTAGAGTTTATAAATAGTGACATTCATCACCTTAAGAGTTGGTTTTGTCAGGTTGAATTAGGCCCAGTCCAACTTCTAAGTGTTTTTTTCATTGTTTTATGACATTCACCTTACTTCTGAGTTGTACTCATTATAGAAAACTTCTAACAAAAACCGAATTAAAATGTTACTAGATAAAAATTGTGAAGACTGCGGCCGGGGGTGGACAAATCAACCAACTAAAATGGTGGGGAAGTAGAAAAAGCCGTATGTTGAGTGAGAGCAAGAGCCTAGAGAAATAAATAGCAGCTAAATATATATTTCTAACCCACAATAGTGAATGTGAAGAAAGAGCAGAGATACAGCCTGTAAGATCTTCAAAAATATTGTTACAGAAAGTGTTGCTGCAATTGAATAATGAATTAATTGTGCCATAGAAAGTTTTATTCACTTGAATGATTTATTGGTACTGTTGGTATCCAGATAATTGTCAATTGAAAACATTAACTTAAAAAAAAGCATTAGTGCAGGATACATTCAATGCTTTGTTGTGAATTGTTGAGTTTCGACAACTTCTCGGCTAATATCTGTCCATCAAAAATGTCGTTGCTCATACTGCTTCTTGACAAGTTTATATATCTGGGAGATTTCCTATAATTCACATGAATGACATCTGTTAAATAAGGGATTTGATCTGTATCTTGGAAGAAATTGCATTAAAATCAAGTAAATCAATCATGAGGGAGATAAATATTGCTAGTAATATTAAAAATAAAATAAAAAATAAAAAAAGACAACTAATTTAAATCATAATATATAAATATAATTTTTGTTATGAGCAGGTTTCAACAAAACACCATGAATATACCAAATAATCATACTTTTTCAAAGAAACCACAAGATTAGAAGGAAGTGAAGCACTTGTTTGTTTCATTTAGTACCAAACTGAACAACTCAACAACCAAAGTTGTTTTTGGTACAATTTAACTAATACTTGAGTAATATGGCATAGGAAAAATCTCACCAGAGGTCCTTTATCGTAATTTTTTGTATCAATATAGTCTTCAGTACAATTTAGTCATTTAACGTTTAAAAGCAGAACCTCATTTTCCATTCATGTATGTTACCAAAAGTCTTACTTGATCAGTCAAAAAGGTAAATCACATTCACAAAGTCAAATCATCAAAATAACATCCACAATCCCTAATCCATCAAAATCACATGATCTTTCGATTTTTATCTAAGATTGAGGCTTTCTTCTTTTTAAAATGTGTGGTTGGGCCTAACTCAACCTTACAAAATCGACTTGGAAAATGAGAATTTCCCTCACTTATAAACATATGATCAAGCGTATATATTGTCCGATATGAGACTTGTAACACACCCCCTCGTGCCCAGAATTGGACATCAGGAGCGTAGACATAAATGGTAGGTGACCCGATAGCTGAAACTTGATAGTAGCAGGTGTCCTCCGGGATCTTGAACAAAACTCTGATACTATCTTAAAATGTGTGGTTGAGCTAAACTCTACCTTACAAAACCGACTTGTAGATGAAAATTACCCCATTTCTAAACATATGATCCGGCCATATATTGCCTGATGTGAGATTCTTAACACCAAACTCGGTTCTAATAGTGGTGTTGAGTGGTCAAACACTCTTTGAAGTAGATGATTTAATGCTACATATAAAATCAACTATCAAATGTTCAACAAAACATCTAACAGTAATGTTGCCATCAACAACAAATTGCAAGTAAGATGACACAAACAACTTCCTTCAACCTCACTCTCAATACACGCAACAAATCATCAACAAAAATCCACAATCAAAGGTTAAATTATTATCAATTAATAAAACACTAACATATCTAAATTCTATTGATCCCTACTAGAGAGTTGCATATGCTACAAACACCGTCTCCTTTTCAGAATGTAATATAGTTAATCGGTGAATAAACAAATAAACAGATACTTCTTAAAACAAAAGCAATGAAATTCGTTAGGGTATTGGATAATCCTAAGCTCAATATCCAAATTCCGAATACAGATGAGAAAATAATCTTTTTTGTTGGGCAATTTATAGATCGAAAAACTTACGAGTGAATGGAGGGAGAGGAGAAGGAGAACCACGGCAGTGCACGGCCTCCGTCGCCGTATCTGAGAGAGGAGCTTCCCAACCTGTATTTTTTTTTCTCAAAGTGGGGTGTAAAATTTTTTTTTTGTAATATTCTTTTTTTTTAATAAAAAAATCTAATGTATTTCAATTCCCTAATTTATAAATCCTTTTGTTTACATTAACTAATACTACCGCTTTTGAAAAATATTAAAAAATAAATATTCCTTTTCACATTTTCAAAATAATCATGCTTTCTAATAAAATTCTTCAGAAATAATCATGTTTTTCCATTAATTCTGAAATTATTCTTATTTTAAGGATTTGTTTAATTTAATCAATAGAAGGGGAGAGGGGGAATTTTTATGAAGGGGAGGGAAGGGAGGAATTTTAATTACATATATGTTTTGATCGTACCTGACCAGAAGGGAATCAATGATCTGCCACGCGTCGCTGATCTAGCTGTCCACCGAAGGTATGGAAGAGGAGGGGGTGTACCTGAAACACACTCTGATGCCAAAGTAAGTGACGGGCTGAGTGGGAGCAAGTACAGAGAGAGTAAGAGAATTAAAGTTATTTGACCCTCTAGTGAATAGGGTATTTATAGTGAGCCCCCAGCGCGGGGCCAACGGTTATCTAGCACTTGATTGGGTTGTCAAGCTCAATGTTAGTAACTGCTAGGGATTACGTGGCGTCGCAAAGACCAGCATGTGGTCTTCGCCCTAGTGTAACTGTTCTGCGCTATCCGGGAGAAGGAAGACCGAATCTCCAGGACATGGGTAGTTACTTTATGACGTGTCCCTGTGTGAGAGATACGTGGAGGACGTGGGGGGGGCTCAAGGAGCTCCCAGGGAAGACTGGGCTCTGCCCGACGACGAGGAAGACAAAGCTTGGCTGACCGACAGCGATAGTCCTCCCCGACAGCTGAGGGCTTATGCCCGACGGGGGAGGAATGTTGTGCTTGACGGGTCCCTGCTCGTCGGTGTGGTCTTATTGGGCCCAACCTCAGTGGGGTTTGGGCCTGCTCGATTGTGGGTTGTGTAACACCCTAAATTTAATTGGAATATTTTAATTTATTTATTTAATTAAGAATATTCATTTTTCAATGATTTTTGGTGGTTTTGTGAATTATGGAGAATTTAATGGAATTGAGTTATTTATTTTTGAATAATAGTATATAATATATATATATATATATATATATATATATATATATATATATTATTATTAATTAAAATAAATATAAGTGAAATAAGGGTAAATTGGCCATTTGAAACAGTTAGTAAGGTTATTTCCCCAAATTGGGAGACCCAAGACTAAGTGGGACAAAATTGAGTTCTGAAGGGAAATTAGAATTCATTTGTGTTAACCGTGAAAATATGGTGGCCAGAGCTCTGAAGAAAAAGCTGGAAACAGAAGATCCCGTAGATTAATCGTGAAAGCTGCAAATCGACTAAGGTATGGGGAGTATTGCATTTCATGATTTTCTATGTATGCCTTTCGGTGTGTTTATGGTGAAGTTTATGATTTAGGGTATTTTGGGTTGATCGTGGAAAATTAAGGGAAACTGATAATGAAACCTTGGGGGTTATGGTTAGTGGTTAGTATTCCTGACTGTTTGATGTGTAACATGAGAAAGGAAACCTTAGGCGTTCGTGGCCAAAGCCTTGGATTGTGATATGTTTGACCCTGTAGGAATAGGAATATTCAAATGTGAAGTAACTTTGATGTACTTAGAGCAATTGCAGAAATTAGTGTTTTAGGTAGTGCAAATGTTGCCAGATTGGCCTAATAAACCATAGATTTTGTGTTTTTATCACCGTAAGACCTTAGAGATGATTTAGGGATATTTTGGGGGCATTGGAGAAGTAAATCGTGTGGACTTTTGGGTTGATTTAGGTTCCGGAGCGTAACATCGTTTTGCTGTCCGTCACGACTATTCATGTCTTCGGTCGAAATTGTTTTGAACGTAACTTTTGATCCGTAAGGCTGTTTGTACCCCCGTTCGAAGTGTTGGAAAGCTAATAAACAAGGCTATAACATTGTATAGATAAGGGAATTGGTGTCCCAATATTTTTATATCTAATTATGTTTGAGAATTCAATTGGGTATATGTTCTAGTAACGAATCATGTTCTGGTTCAGTGATGTCTTGATGTTTTGATGCTGCGATTTTCCTGATGAATTGTCATGGGGGTAACTGTGATAATATGATGAATTAACATGAGTAGGACTGTGAGTTTTATGTGATTGATGGGCGATAGTGTGAGGATTACCACGAGTATAATTTGATAAATTAATATGAGATAATATGAGGTAGTATTATGAACTAATATGGGATAATATGTGATAATATGACAATGAGATAATATGTGATTTGTGCGTGATTATATGATGAGATGATGTGTGAGATTAATTATTAAGATGAATTATGATGATATGATGTTTGATGAATAATGATGATTACTGTGATGAGATATGATAACATGATGTATGATGATGATTGTTACGAGGAGCTATGATGACATGATTTATGATGATGAATATGACGATGAGATATGACGTGTAATGATGATGAATATAATGAATGATGATGCACCATATGTTGTTATTATGAGGATTACTGTGAAGTGTGCATCATGCATTCATGTGCATCCGGACTTCGGTTCAGGACCTCGATTACTTTGGCTTCAATCCTACTGTGTGGATGTGAAGTATTTTGATGTGCTCCGATCCTATTGATGGGGATCTATGGAGGGTTGATGGCCCAGTGTCCATCGAGCTGTGATGATTGGTACCACATGCATTGAGTTGTGTTGCATTGCATTTATGAGCCTTTGTGTATAAATTATGACGTTGTGACCTTTGAGGCATAATTGAAGGATATCAATGTGTTGAATATAACTATGAGTAATATGTCGTTTATGCATTAATTGTTATACATTGATTATTATGAATTGTCTTAGTCATCCTGCCTGTTTGAATATTACCTCCACGTGGGTAACGTGCAAATGAGCAAGTTTAGTCGTAGACACCGTCGAGGAGTATTGTAACGTTTTAGAGTCGTTAGCCTTTATGGTTAAGGTAGAGGGTCTTGCTCTGATATGTAACATCGGGTTGGGTTCTTTGAGTTGATTGTATATCATTGGGTTATTTTACTGATGTTCTCTTATGAGGAAAACATTGAGTTATGTTTTGAGTTCCGCTGTATATGATGTTTTGATGTATTTTGAGAAAACCTGTGTGTTACGGAGTATTGACCAATTTTGTTGACTTTGAGAAATGTACGCCCTTTATGGCTTTTTAATAAAAGTTAATATTTTACTCTAAAATCCGTGTTATTTTGCCGTAATATCTGTGGGGTAGAATAAGGGTGTTACATTAGTGGTATCAGAGCAGGTCGGTCCGTCCGGTCAAGTTGTTTAATGTTGTTTGTTCCCTGGTATGCGACATATGTGTAAAAACATTGTCGGTACACGTTTGTTGCCTAACCTTTATCTG